TTAAATCAATTTTTTTTTTGATGCAAATTTAATCGAAACTTTCAGAGGTATAAAAACGACATAAAAGTTTCACGAGTGTGATAAGAAGACAGATTCTGCTTGCCTTGCTTTTTATAGTGGTTTATTTCGGTTTTTATTTGGAAGTCAACAAAATAATTAATTTTTCACAAAGTCACGATTATTCAAAATTTATGAGTGAATAATTGAATTTGAGTAAATATTTTAACCGTGAATGCAGAAAATACAGATTTCCCTCCGGCTTTTTTATTGTTTGATGACGAGTGAAACGTCGCAAATACGAGTTCGAGAATAATTCGGTAATTGGCTCGGTAATCGCTCTCGGGAGGGAGATTCGATCAGATCAATTCGATATCTTATCCATGGCAACAGATGGATTGTTATCAGCTTCGGTCAACAATCGCACTGACGTCAAAAAACTCAAAAAACTGCATCTGAATATTTCTGACATTTGTAGATTGTACCTGACAATTGGGTGCTATATTAAAATCGATTCGGATACATATTGGAAGCAGTTTATTTGCCAACTTTATGGGCTCTCAGCGGTCTGGTAACATGTCGCAGCAGCTCGACAAACTAATTTTCCTAATCGAAATTAGTGACGTCATCGCTAACAAACAAAATTATTTGATTTTTAGCTCAAAATGAGAGCTAAATTCGGGCAAAAATTAATTAGCGTAAACAGTAATAGCCAAAAGCTTTTTCGTTTATGGGCACGAAGAAAAAATGTAAACATAAACAGAAAAAATGCTCCCTAAGATAGTTTCCCTGAGCAAAAATAAGAAATTTGATGCACAAACTCGTATGGAGCCGCAATGTCTCAGCTCAATCATCCTGTATTTTAATAATTACCACAACTGAACCTGAAAATTTAATTCAAAACTCGAAAAAGCAATACAGAGTGACTCATCTAAGATACCTAATCCCATTATGTAGCAAATTTTCGAAGTTTAAGTGGCCTGAAATGGGTCCGCGCTAAGAGTGTGGCGGTATTGATCCTGATGTGGCGGTGGCAGTGACTGAGAGTGTCGGGGGTGGCGTCGCAATAACACATCAAATGCACGATTTCGGTGGCCCACATATAATTACCGCTAAAATTTAATGTTTGAAAGAGAGTAGTTTTTTATTGTATGGATTGAATGAGAGTTTCAAGCATTAAAGAAGTGAACGAGTTTTGTGCTCTTAATGCTCGAAAAATTTAAATTCAACAGAAAGTTTGAAGATTATTTGTACTTAAACTCGCTTTTCAGATTTCGAAAAGGTTAACATTAAAGGAATGCTTGTATTCGTTGCTCGTACACTCGAGTTTCTCTAATTTCGAATTTTATAGATTACTTTTTCTTGTTGAAATATTGGAGGTCGCGTGTAAGACTAGAAATATAGTCCCGGTAGAGAAACTTGTCTCTACAACTAAGACATTTGTACTATTTCCGAATTTAGAACAAAAAAAGTCGTTTCGTAATCATAAAGATGAGCTAAAGTTTGATCAAACAGATTAGAGAAAAACTTAGAAATGTTGAAACGTTTTTTGTGTACAAAGATCAAAGGTCGTGACTAAACAAAATTATAATTTAAAAAATGCAAAATACCGGAAATTTCCATTTTTTTATTAAAATTACGCCTTCCGGAAGATTTTACACAAGCACAGATCGAAACATTATGTTTCCGGTGACAACTTCATATGGAACTAGTAGAGCAAATTTTTGCTTCATAGATCAAATTTTTGGTACAAAAAACCAAAAGGAAATTGAATTTTTTTTTAATTGAAGTAGGTTTACAAATGAAATAATTGACGAAAAAAAAAATCTTCTAAATGTAAGTCACGTAATTATGCAAGACTAGAAATAACCCTTTTCCTATAACCGCTTCAATTTCCGCTTTGATCTCGCACCCTTCTCTCCCATTAAAATAATATCTTGCACGACGCGCGACAAAGGATCAATTACGCCGGAAGTGATAAGGAGACACTTTCGATAACAAGTTTTCATCTTCTTTTACTGAGAGAAGAAAATAGAACACTTACCCGAGTGTTTTCGTCGATATAAGTGGCGTTTTCAAGCTGAGAAAACCGTTGAGACGCGATTTTTTCTCATGGCCTGCTTCGATTCGGCTACAGTTACCGTCGGGGGAATCCTCGTCGTCGTCATCGTCACGCTTACGACGACGTTTGTGGAAGAAATAGCAGGCGGCGCCGATGCCCGCCAACAAAATCAAGGCGGCTAAGCTGGAGAAGACGGCGGTCAGGACGATGTCGCGTTTCTGCATCATCAACTGCAAAAAAAAAACACAGTTCTTGAAATTGAAAAATGTCAAAACACAATCAAGTCGGCCGCGGCCATTGTCATCTCAGCCGAATCACCGTGTATTATACCAAGTGAATCAAATTTTACCACAAACACCTCTTTCAAAGTATTTTTAAGTTACTTTTTCTTGTAGCTTGTAGCAAAAAAACTTGGAAAATTATTTTTCCAACAGAAATAGAGTCCAAGTGCAAACTTTAAACCCTCATAACTTTGAAATTTGTATAGATAAATTTTTTTAACATTTTTTCCATGTTCCTGGCATCTTACCTTATATGGCATTTTTCCCTGGGGCGAGAGTTTTGGCGCAACCTGTATACAGGATGAAACAAAAGTAACGCACAAAATTCATATTTTTGTTATCGATCATTTAAAAAAAAAATCCTCAAACAGGTCGATTTTATTTTTATAAATTTTGACAGTATTGTGACATTCATGCTATGCGTACTTGGATTTTGGGTAATGACGTCATCATTAATTTTTTGTAATGGTAACCAACAATTTTGTTCACTGTTTTTGGTAATAAAAGAAAATATTATCAAAAACAGTAAACAAAAATGTTTGGTTGCCATTTAAAACAATACAGATAACATCATTACTTAAAAATCATTAACGTTATAAATAATAGTATAATGAAAATGTATCAAATCCAAAAATAAAATTGTTAAAAGATATTGTTAAAAAATATCCCGTTAAATTATGAATTTTGTGCGCAACTTTTGGTTCAGCTTGTATAAGTGTTTCAGCTAAAACAGATTCATTATTTATTATTTGATAACTTATTTTCCTACGACACTATAAGAAAGATGTCAATGTCAAACAATTGAGTAGGCATAAAAGTTGACATTTTTATTCATCTGTCAAAAATTCGTACGTAATAGATAATAGATAATTGATAGCCTAAAACAGACATCAAAAGGAGTTCAGATTTTTGTTTCAAGCTATTTAAAAAAAAACAATTATCAATTTTCGCATTATCAAGTAGGCATCTTAGTTTTTTTGTTTCCAAGGTTGTCAGATTTAATTTATTGTTAAAATTGCTAGATTGCTAGTTTGTTAAATGTTTTTTATACCATAAGACACAAATTGGTGATTTTTTTTCAACAGGTATCTGTTCAGTCTTACAAGATCTGTCGTTTCTGCTAACTAAATTGAAGATTATATAAACGGAACGGCCAAAAACTTGATCCAAAATTTAATGTTTGAAGAGCTATATTTTGTGAAACAAGGCTCAAACAATTTTCTGTCATGATAACTTTTAACTCAAATGAATGTCCTTTATCACCACCCAAGAGATGGTCCGACATTTTGAATCACCCTGTATATACCGGGTGATTCACGAAGAATAATGAGCTTGACCAAATTCTTGACGCAACCACTTTTGCAAGTTGCTTTGCGACACTTTTAATTTGAATCCACGATGCCTATTATCATCATCATTGTCATTTTTGACAAATGCTACAAATTTATTATCAACTGAGCAAAATGTGGACTTATTACAATAATGAGAAGACTGACATGATTTTAGCTTATGGAGAATGTTTGAAAAATGCATCTCTTGCTTCCTGTGTGATGCCCAATAATATCCCGAAAGAAAGAGCATCTTCTGACACGATCAGGTTAGTTTTGAGAAAATTTGGTTCCTGTTAAGTTATCAAGACGAAGGGTACCACTGGATGAAACTTGAATGAGGGCCTTCCGTAATTCGTATTTTAATATACCCATTATTGCGTTGGTATTTCAATTAATTACAGTTTTTCATTTTCATTGTTTTCAAAACTGACAAATTGTTAGTGTGCTCATATTTATTACAAAAAATCTTTGAAATACACTTGACCTATGAAAATGTAATGTTGGTTGCATCGAAAATTTGGTCAGGCTCATTATTCCTCGTGAATCACCCTGTATATTATAACGCACGGTTATAACGTAATAATTTACTGTTATAAATTATGTTTCTATTTTGTTAATTTGTTTTTTTATTTTCTGAAAATTGTGAGCTACAAATAAATTTTGATATGTTTATAACACTTTCTATGGGTTTTTATGTTATATTATTACCGTAACTGTCAAATTAACAATTTGCTACATTAATTTTAATAATTCTGAAAAATAAATATCTTTGCAAATGATTTTTTCAGTGTCGTAGAAAAAATAGTGAACAAAACTCGATGGAAAGTGTCTAATGCCCTTGTGGGGTTTCTGCACTTGGCTGGCGCCTCGTGCATAATACTCCCCAGTTGTGCGTTATTTGTCACTTTCCGTGTTCCTTACGTAATATACTATTTTGTTATTGTATGTGCGCAAAAAATATAAAACTATCGCCACTCTACTGTCCGTAAAGGCTTTGTGTTAAAATTCGTTTTTTGATTGAAGCACCAAAAAAACTACATGTTTTACAACGCAAAACCCTTTGTGCTTTACTTCTGTGAAAACCTAGTTGCAAATTTTCTATTTTCGCAATTTAATACTCTGTCCGGCTTTTGTTATACCGAAAATCGCAAATGGGACAAAATTCAACCCTCTTTATCGCCGATCTCCAAACCCATCAAAAATCGCACGACACGCCTGAAAATAATTCGCTCTTCGGCCAATTTTAAGCTCGTTAAGCGTCATTCTACCACAGCCTTTGTCGTGTTTAATGACCTGAACTCGATTACCTCCGCACGACACAATAACACCTGCTTTTGAATCGGATGATTCGTGTGTTTATTTACTCACCAACACTGTATGATGTGTATAATATAATAATTCTAATTAAATTTTTTAACACGTCGACAAAAACATTTCCGATTTGAGAGATAATCGCGCTTTATGCATGACCTACTATGATATATAATATAATCTGTGCATTCGGTTGCGACAGCACAAAAATGAAATATTTCGCGGTCGTGCTTGTTGGTTTAGTGGTTGTGTTGGCTATTGAAGTATTTTTTTAATTAAACAGAATTTGTTTCAAATCGCCCTTTTTTTAGGGAAAGGCCCAGTGGGGACCCCCTAATGGGCACCCGAGAGGACCGCCACCCCCAGGACATCCCCCACATGGACCACCCCCACGTGGGCCGCCTCCGGGTCAAAGCCCATCGGAGAGTACCACAGCAAGTACCACGGAAACGATAACGGAAGCGACTTCGTGAATAAAGTTTTTTGTACTTCCCATAAATTAAATAAATATACCGTTAAGCAGAAATTCCTGTTTTTATAAATATTTGTATAGGTATAACGGGGTCTCAATAAATAAAAAAAATACTTTTTTGGTGTTATGATAACACTTTCTAAAACAAAAAATTAGAAAACTGTGGTTCATATTTTAGTAATTTTGGAGATTCAGAGTGTTTCCTATTAAACTATAAATAATAGTTACACAAAAAACTCTAAATAGTTATTTATGTGTATCAAGGCAGTAAAGTCTTATTACGAAACAAAAACAATGAAATTTCCGGCAGCAAAGATGCAAATTTTTCGTAATAAATACAAACATCGCAACATTCTTCTAGAAAAAGCAACCAAAGAGTTATAGTGAGCTCATGAGGGTGGAAGAAAACAATAATAAATTAAGTACATAAAATGTCTATTTTGAGGTTAAAATACCTAAATACGAGAGTAAAACTACAATTTTGATATTGAAATTAGTAACCCATTTTGTTTAAGCACAATTTCTTATAAAAAGTACATCTTTCTGTTAATTTTGCATTAAAGTAAATAAAGAAACTTGCGTACTTCTTACTCTCACTTGCTTCTTTACTTCAAAAGGATAATGCAATAGTTTCCAAGTTCTAAAATTCATACATTGACTTGTTAATCGGTATGAGATCAAAGAAAAAGTTGAGAAAAAACAATACCTGTGAAGAAAGTTTTAGAGAAATCGGTTCATCGGTTTCCGGAATGTTTGTAAATCGAGTTTACAAAACAATTTTTGATAATTGTTGATAATAATTAACGATTCTGTCTCGTTAATTATACTCGTGTACAACCTCTTCAACGAAAAAAATTCGAGAAAAATACTGGAAACTAGCAGGTTATGTCACCCACATGAAAGAAAATTAATAAATGTCAAAATTATAGTAGACCAGCTATTTATTGAAAGTTCTGGGCAAATTGGTATTATTTTTGTAACCTAGCAACGGATATAATTTTTCAATCACACTTTGAAGTGCTTTTCTGGGATTGGTTAATTTAAAAATCTAATAACTTACTTATGCAAGCAAAAATTACTTCTTTGGTTGCACTTTTTGGCCACCGGCATTTGATATTTTTCTGAAGGGCGCGAGTTCATTTTTCTATTGATTTTAAAATTGTAATATTTTTTCTCTGCGTTTTAAATCCCATCACATTGGCAGTTTTATTTTTTTGACAACGATGTCACTTTGACAAATGAGTTTACGCAAGTTAAGTAACAAAAATGTGAAAAACATAATTTTAATAAGTGGCAACTCAAAAAAACAGATTTAAGATAAAAATACAGTCATTTTTAACAAGAACAATCATTATTGAAAAATTATTACAATTTAAAAATCAAGAGAATAACAAACTTTCTTTGCACTGAGTCAGAATGATAAAGTTTTAATTACAAATGTCGTTTTAGCTTAAGCTTAAATGTTATTCCTTTGAAGTTTTAGCGTAAAATGAAAGATAATTATTTTTTCCTCTAGTAAACTTAATCCGGGGACATAGTGTATAAAAAAATGTAGGTATAAAAATCACTGAATTATACAGGGCGTAGCAGCTAAAACTATCCACAATGATTAAAAATCCAGAATAAAAAGTTGTCTTAAAAATTGAATTTTTAATACAAAAGTTGTAGAAAAAACCTGAAAATGTTAAGAGATTTAAAATAATTTAAAAAGGCTTTATCATCGTTTGCAACAAAAATTTAACAATTTCGACCGTTCCCATTCCTGTTAATTAAAATCCCAGCTCAGGTAATTTAAATTTTAATGAGCGACATCTTGTAATTACGTTACGACCTAAAGCTGATTACATGCCTCGAGCCATCCAAAGAACAATTTTTATTTCACTTCTATTTTTTTCTCTAACTTTATTGACAAAAACATCCTAATATCAGTTTAATGAGCAATAAATTAACACAAAATTTATTCATCTGTCGACCAGCATGAAGATCAAACCGATTTATTTCTTCCTGTTTTTAATAATCCTGAGTTTAGTAAGTCTTTAGAATAAATTGTGTGGTGATTAATATAGAATTTTTAGTTGTTTGAATGCGATTTGGCGGCAAATTCCAAGAAGAGGAAAAAGAAAGTGACAAAAACGAAAAAATCTGTGAAGAAAAATGGTAAAAAGAAGACAAAAACAGGCAAGAATAATGCTCCAAGGGCCCAAAATAGTCCGCTACCACCGCTTATTCAATTTTCCCCAGTGCCCCCAAACTCTAACGAAACTGAAATTCCGGATGTTTACCCCTCACCACCAGAAGATTTAGTCGACAAAATTTTAAATAGTAAAAAATAAAGCAACCTGTATTTTCTCCTCCAAAACCAAGTAAAAAATTTATTTAAAATTTTCAAATCGACACTTGCAATTAACTTCTCTAAGATTACTAATCAAGTGCTAAATTTGGAGCATTAATTTAATTTATCACCCATTTCAGGAACAAAGGATTATTGTGCGGGGCTTAGAATCACCGTTCGCTCTATATTCAATCTAATTAACATCATAATTAATTCAATTTGTAATTAAACGTTTCACAAATTTTTTTCCGTGTCTTATAGCATGTCCTCCTCTTCCGTGATGTCTCCCTTGGTGACTGTGCATCTCGTGAAACGTCATTAGTCCACCATGAGAATTGTCGTGGTTGCCTATCATTGTCCCATTCTTCATTTTGATTGTTTTCATTGTGTCAAAAAAGGGTTTCTCGATTTTCTAAATAAATCATCAATTGAGAGAAATTGTGAAAACTTCTATTACTTACTTGAGATTCAAGCAAATTTAAATAAAAAACTACGAAAATTAATGCGATTTTTATTGTCAGCGTCATTGCAAAATTTGACAGAAAGCAATAGTGAAACATTGTTTCATAGCCAACGTTTCGACCTTATTTACAGTCTTCCTCAGACAAACTAAAGACTGTTTTTTTTAAATGGAAATGCCAAACAGTCTTAACGTTGGCACCACTAGTAATTCATTTATGGTAATTTTAATAAAGGTTTTTTGAATTAATTTGAAAACAATGTCATTAAACGTCAGGACAAAAAATCGTGTAAGAAAATTTAGAGACGAAACACCAAAAAAGGAACAAATTCGGTACCGCTAACAGTTTTTAGAAATTTGAAACGAATAGTTCGCAAATAGGAAGTTAGAAAAAAGGGCCCGTTAAAATGTAGACGCAATTTGTAATGCAGGTTTGCTAAATATTCTCAATTTTTAGCAAGAAATTGACAAGAATACAAAATAAACATGAATGAGAAAGAACCCCGGAAAGTATGTAATTAAATTAGTGTCTTGTGCTTCGTTTTTGAGAAATGAGTTGAAAGAGTAACAATTTTGAGACTAAAGCTGAAAAAGAATTTATAAAATGCATCAACTTTGAGCTCATTTTACTAAATTACACAAAATTTATTGCCAATCATCATAATATCTACTTGTATCTTTTGTTAAATAACTTTTTTCTGTATTCCTTTTTTACTAAAGTTTTTCAAAATTATTAGCACTGAATTCTGTCTTTAGACCTGAGGTAATGATGTCTGTCCACAGGTATTCAATTATGCAACTTTCAAAGAGCAAACCGGCACACAAGATTCATAAAAGTCAAAATTTTGACCACATCTCAATTTGAAACCATAACCATAATTTTTTCTAGGAACAAAAACAAAGAGCAAACAAAATTTGTGGCTATGGAGACAAGCTGCTACCATTTTTTCACCAAAATTTTGACTTGGTAATTTAAATTAAAAAAAAAAACAGACTTTACTTACGAATTTTGATAAATGTGACCAAAAAAACTTTCAAAAACATGTCTAACGATCCTTACTTCCGTCCCCTATAAAAATAAAACACTCGACGAAAAATTCATTTATCAAAAATGCGGCTCAAACTGATTTATTTCTTTTTGTTTCTTCTTATTTCATCATTTGTGAGTTTTATTAATTGGCTCCTCACGTGCCAAATATTGAATTTCTAGATTTTGGAAATCGACGCTGCAACCAAAAAAAAGAAAAAGAAAGTGAAAGCAAAGAAAAGTAAAAAAGTGAAGAAAACCGTGAAGAAGGGGCAAAAACCTAAAGATATGCCAAAAGAGTATCTTCGGAATGTAGTATTACCCGTGGTGCCCATGAATGGGTCAAGCAATGATGATTTTAATTCGACCGATTTTGAATAAATGTGAATTTAATTTTCAATAAACTCAATTATTTTATCATTACGTGTGACTATAATAGCGGATATTTTACCATTGACCCATCAGAAATGGGGCTTCTGTTTAAAATAATCTTAGTTGTATTTTTTATTAAATTAAGTGGTCAAACTTTCAGTGATAATAGATTAAAAAAAAGACAAGATTTAGCCAGTTGTTGGTGGTTTTTCCCCAGATATATTTACGTCAATGTTGTCACACCTGCCACGACCACGACTGAAGAGCCAATAGAAGAAGTTACTGACGATGAATTGTTACGATTGAGGAGACGAAGAAATAGAAAAAAATTAAAAAATCGGACCAAAAACAAAAAAAACTAAATAATAGGAAGAATTAAAAAAACATTATTTTACCATTAAGTGCCTTTATATTCGCTGCCCATTTTATGGAATTAAGTCACAATCATGCCAGGACCGTACTTGTTATTTTTATTGGTTTGGTTTGTTGAGACCAATTGTTACACCATTAATCACGTTTCGAGTATTTTTCATTTTTTCCTCATGTATCAAATTTAATTTTAATTTTTCAGAAAACTCCTTTCAAGTTTTGGCCAGTTGTTATGGCCGCTTTGGAGGTCAAGGAAGACCAGTGACAACTCCTACTCGTATTTTCTTACATTTATGTTTTTATTTTCTTAAATTGTGGTTTTTAGCACCTGTTATTGTTCCTACTGACGATTATGGAAACAATAGTGGGGGTAGTGGTGAAATTGATGATTATGGAGATGTAGGAGAAATGCTAAGGACGAGGCAAAAATTATCTAGGAAAAAAAATAAAAAACAACTAAATAAAAGTATTTTTCAAGCAAAAGAAAAAAGTCTATTGTTCTAATTATGTAATTTGTAGAAAAACTCAAAAATGCGAAACCATTGGCTAAAAATCAAAAAAAGAAGAATACGAAAAATTAACAATAAGAAACAATAATATTAATAAATGTGTTTTAAAAGCATTTTGATTTTTGTATCACACCCCTGCAATAAACCAGTTTTTGGCTGTTTCCGGGTGAAACCCAGAGTTAAACTTGAGCCCGTTTCTCGGCGTTCCGGGTAACCGGAAACCCCGGACCCGACAATGTTTTTTGCAAAATCTCACAAGATTTTTTATTTAGAACCAATAATTTTCACGTAATCGATTTTTTTTTCCAAGAAAAATTACAAAAAATATGAATACAAAAATAATATGAACAACAATACAATAAGCGTAATTAAAAATATCACAAAAAATATGAATACAAAAGTAGTTTGCATAACAATACAAAATAAGTGTAATTATAGCCTCTTTTATGTGCAGAAATTGTTAAATTGGGCAATTTATTAAAATTGTGTTCACACTTATGAATCGCGACAAATGAGTTTATAATTCGAATCCTGCAATATATAAATAAATGTCCAAACAGAAACCCACAAAAAACAAAATGAAAACCAATTTGTTTTTACTCTTTTTAATCGTAATTCTAATTTCGATTTGCAAGGTTGTAAAAATATTTTTTTTCATTAAATTAATTAATTAATTGATTGTTATAGGCGAAATTCCAAAGCGATGATGAAGAGATTGAAAACCCATATGTTAGAAAAATGATGCTACCAACAGAAATTCCCCAAGACGAACCGTTTGAAATTTATCTAAATTATCCGAAAAATGTTGCTAATATTGAAAATATGTACTTGAAATGCGAATGGTACGAAAACGAATAAATTTGTAATGAATTCTAATTATGAATAAATGATTATGAGAGCATTAATGTGTTGTTCCTTGTGTCTAGTACAAATATAAAAATTTGACAACTCGAAAAACGCACATTTGTGAAATGAAACTCAACGCTGTTTACTTCTTTCTGTTTATAATTATTTTATCATTCGTAAGTTTCTGAATTTTTGGGTTAGGTATTTGTAAAACAATTTTGTAGTTGTTTGAGATTGATGCTGCTACTACAAAAAAGAAAAAGGCGAAAAAAGTAAAGAAAAAGTCTACAAAAACAAGAAAAAAGTCGACGAAAAAATCAAAAAATGTAAAAAAATCCAAAAATAAGAAGACAAATTATGAAAAAATGATTAACGAGTTGGTGAGAAAAAGTGGCAAAAATTTTACTCCCCGATCAATTGACATCCCAGACGAATTTTTATACGGAAGTGAAGAAACAAATGCAACTGTGACCTTAACCATGCCCGATTCCATTATAAACGATGAAGAATACAATAAAACAATTGCAAATAACGCATAATGGAAAATAATAAATTGTAGTATGAATCTTTTTCACTTTTTAATCCTACCCCAATAAAATAGACAAAAATCTTAATCAAGCAAACATAAAAATCGTAAAATAAAATTTTATTACGAAATAAACGTAACAAGAGACCGCCTTTTTTGTAATAAAACTTGATTAAATTTGAATACGAGGCAAACAGAAAAAATGTAATTTTCCCGACAAAATAAATTGCTCGTAATTAGAAAAAATTGAAATAAAATTGCATTCACACTCGGAAAGTAATTTATGGGGATGTAATTGAACGTCCACGTCCAATTATAAGTTAATTCAGAACACATTAACTGTATTTTGGGTATAAATAAATGAAGCGAAATTTTTCATTAAGAGAAATCGAGTCAAAATGATGACGAAATTGTCTCTGATTTTGATAATTTGTGCGGCTTGTCAAGTAACACATTTTCTTATTTTTTTTTATTTAACGTTATTTATTGTAGTTGGTCAAGTCAGAAGAACAAATTATGTACAGCCCAGAAGGCCCCATGACGGACTATGACGAAAACATTTCCAAAAGTGACGATTCAATCAACATTTATTTGAATTTCCCCAAAAATAAAGATGTGACAAAGCTGCGTTTGAACTGTCAATGGAAAAATCTAACCGAAATGTAAAATAATAACTTTTTGCATTTAATTGTGTTTAATAAATGAAAATAATTGAGATTTATTCTTCTCTTTTGTAAAGTTACATTTTCAATGCCTCACAGTATATTTTTAAATAAATGAGCCATAAACTGAATTAAATGTAAATTTAAAACACATTATCATTTCTGATATAAAATCGTGAACAAAATTGTGTAAATCCAGTCAAAAATCGCAATGTTTGTAACTAAAGTGGTTGCAATTTTTTTAGCTACAATGTCGGCCAGTTTTGGTCAAGTATATCAAACGTTAACTTTATTAAAAAAAAAAAATAAAAAATAATTTAATTTAAGGACTATAATCCAGAAGATTTTTTTGAAATATATTTGGACTTCCCCGAGGACACCACAAATATTACCAATATGTATTTGAGTTGTCAGTGAGTAGACACCTCCAAAGAGATGATCCCGAAGAGTTTGTTGCGAAACCTTTAAATAATTGTTTGTAAACTTGTTATTAATAAATTTGAGCATGTATTTTGTGTTGCCTAACTTGAATAAACTCGGTCGATAAAACAGCGCACGCGTATGTTGTCAATTAAATGTCAACTGTCACACACTCCTAGTTCGAATATGTTTGAAACTAAATATAGTAAAATTGAAGCGAATTAAAGAAAATTTGCTCTGAAATCATGGCTAAAGCCATCAGTGACGACATCCAAACCGGCATCAGAGACTTAATCGTCTCAATAACACCGTTCGAGGTAACCTAACCCCACTTTTAACCCTTATAAAAAACCTCAACTTCAGGCGGGCTCTGAACGGTTCAACTCCCTCGAAAAATATGCTCTAATGACGTTAGAAAAATCCGACTCGATGTATTTCCTCAACACCAAAGACATCAAAAATGCCATTTGGAGTATGGCCGAAAAATTTGCATTTCATGGTTTTTTCAAACATGCTGATTATTTGAAAACCCTGCATGAGAAATACATCATTCCTAACCTTCCCGAATCCGACTTAAATTCCCGTTTGAACGTCGTCAAATTCCTTCTTTGCATGTCCCAAAGCCCCACTACACACTTCTGGGAAAGCCCCGAAAAATTCCAGTTTATTTACAACACCCAAGAGAGCGAAGTCCTTGACTGGGGGGCCTACTTAACCGAGGATATCGACCGATGGTCACCTCTCCCGGACGAAAACTCCGACTCAGAGGACGAAACAACCCCCAGTCACCAAGAAGAAGCAACCACAAGTGTTAAAAGTGCCCCCAGTCGAGCCATAATCCCAATGGCCCAACACATCAAGGAGTACAACTTTCAGGAGTCACGCAAGAAACTCCTCAACACAATCCAAACCGATTGGTGGTCAAAACCAGTCATAATGGAACCTCCAAGTGACTGGTTTGATGCCAATGTGGGGCTCCTCTGGCACCAGCATTTGCTCACCGAAGCCCGAGGGCTGGTCACTCTCGACCCCCTCACTGTCATCTCCGAGTATAAAGTCATGAGGGAGATTTTGTGGCAAATGTGGGGCCCCCACAACTCGGTTGTTTTCCAACTCTCAGGCAACAAACTAGTGCCAAAACCAAATGTCACGATATCCAGCATTCGAGCGGTGAGTTTTAAATTAACAAGGAATTTGATTTAATTTTAATTTAATTTTAGTCATGTTTTTATAATTTCATGGAGGCTTTTATTCCTTACATCCAAGTTTTGGACGATTTCCGGCAATTCTACCGGAAGTTGGAAACAAACGGATCAGAAACGTACAAAAGTTACTCTTGTGGGGTCAAAAATATCGTCTGGAGGGTTTTTGAGGAGTTAGTCTTGCTGGAAAGCGAAATAGCGGCTCAAGGTTTTTAATAATAAATTAATTACTTAATTAATTAATCCAGTTAATTGTAGAGACAACTATGACTTTGATTAAGTTGTCCCAAAGATTTGAAATAATGTTTAAACCAGTGTTTGTCTTGAAAGCGATTCACAACGAGGTGATTATCGATAATTTTGGGGATAAAACACCCCTAGAATGTGCGTTGGTACTCCTGACTCGACTTCGGACAGGTTTAGAGTTCTCAGTAAATAAATTGGAACAAGATATTCGCCTTAGTTTGTACTTGGAAAGTATTTATTATTATTTATTACTCACAGAAGCCTGGCTTGTTAAAAACGATCTATTTGACCACACCAACGAATTTATTGTTTTAAAGTATGTTTAATTAATGAATTGACGTCAATTTAATCTGATTTTTGTAGCGAAAATTCAACTTTTGTCCTCCGGGCCGGTATTGAAGAATATTGTGACCAGGACAGTATTATCAAAATAATCAGTAACGAAGTATTGAATATGGGGCGCAATATGCACCTGTTACGCCTCTTGAGGAAGTACGATGTTTTCACAAAAAAATCAGAAACAATTCATCAGGAATATACGAGACGACTTTTAGAAGAATTGTGCTCTTATTATTCCTGTGAACCCCCCAGTATTAGAGTCGAAAGCCCCCAATCACGACCAGTTGTCACCAGTTTTGATTTAAACGGAATGGGGGATTGGACCAACTTTGTTGACACCACAGATGGATTCTTGATGGAAGCGTTTAGTGATTTTTTTTACGAGAAAGAGGAAATTCCAAAAGAGGACACTCTCTATGAGAAGTATTTTCCGGTGTTTTGTTAATATCCGCTCAATTTTCCGCTTTTAGGATCAGTAAAATCACGACGAATTTATTTCCGTTTCGTTCACATCCTGAGAAAATTTTCCTTGAAATTATGAAAGAGAGATTCAACATTTCAGGTTTGATGGTTAAAAATCTCCTCATTGAGAAATACAATTTGGATAAACAGTTTGATTTTTTGAATCACATTTTTCTATTTAATGATGATTTAATATTTCCATTTTATCGTCGCTTATTTGAGAAAGTAATGCCGAAAAAATGATGTAATAATTTGAAAAAAAAACAAATTTTTTAAGATGAATTTACGTCACAGCAATTGGGGCAACAGTGTATACTTGACCTCTCACCTCCAGGACAGTATTATGGACCTCTATCCGAATTTTTACGAGGATTGTATTGTCCAAATCAAAGATACGTGGAAACAATGTCGTGATTCGCTCAAAGCCTGCTCCCTTTTAACTCTCCATTATGAAATCAAGTGGCCACTGAATATTATCATAACAAATGAACAAATAATCATGTACAAGGAGATATTTGAAGTCGTTTTGCAGGTCAAGTGGGCGCTGTATACCGCTAATCATCTGTTTTTCACAGGCAAGTGATGTAGTCGATAATACAGGAGCCTTTAATTTAATTTACTCGAAATGGTTAATAATTCGGTAAAACTGTCTTTTTCCTTGATTTATTTATTAATTAAGGATTCTTTTATCCTCAGACATCGAGCCAAAGAACAAATCTTTTAAAGCTGTCGCCCCTAAATCCACAATAGAGCGCCTCAAATACCTCCGTTTCAACCTGATCAACATTTTAAACAGCATCCAACACTATTTATTCGGTTTCGTCTTTACCAAACACAGAATCCAATTCGAATTGGATTTCGAAAAGTCGAACGATCTAAAATCATTAATAACATCCCACGAAGAATTTATCAAATCCGTTTATTGTTCAGTGAAAAGGATTCGAGAGGAAAGTCGAAATAATCATGGTTTTAATACGGTGAGTCGATTATTCCGTTTCAATTTTTTTGTAATAAAAATATTTCAGCTTCTCAAATGTGTGCGAATGTTGAAAGTGATGTGGAATCAACCAGATCATGCCACAGGCGAAAACCTAAATAATTGTCATAAAATCTTCAAGTCGTCGTTTGAGGTTGTTAATGAAACTGTTACTCCTATTTTTGATTTGTAATTAATAAAGAATTATTTTTGATTATTCTCCGTGTTTCAATTTTAATTAAATTCATTAAATTACAACTTTAAACTATAATCAAATGTTAATTATACACAGATTTGGATTATTTCGGTTAAATATTAACTACTGGACATTAAATTATTGATGCGTTAATTTCACATTTCACAATCTAACCAAAGAGTCCGTTTTGTTTTTATTCCGAGCCAACTTAGAATGTAATTACGCAAGTTTAGTCACTCATTAAGCCACCAACTAAAGTTATTTAATAATTAAACTTTCCGTCTAATAAAATTGCCTCCAATTATATTAACTTAAAAACTTTCAAAACGGAATTGTGAAGTATTAAAACGTAATTAATTTTTTTCAAGTGTTTGTCGCTAATAATAAAATCAAGTGGTGCATCCTTCATCCGAAAAATTACAAAATAATAGTCCCATCATCATTTAAACCACTATAAAAACCCATCAAAAACTCCCAAAAATGTCACAAAATGAAATTCGCTGTTGTGTTAGCACTTAGTGTTTTCCTGGTCTTGGCCCTTGACGTAAGTAAAATGAAAATTTTTCCAGTAATTGTGAAAATGTGTCCAGGGGGTGGACGCCAAGGAGAAAAAACGCGAAAAACTCCCCGAAAGTGAGGAAAAATCCGACGATCTGAAAAAAGACGCCGAAGTCGGGAAATTTAAACACCATCATGGGTTTGGAAAATCCAAAATGAGTGACTATTCCAAGGACGTAAAACCGAAAAAATAATCTGTTTGAAATAAATTAAATTTGCAAAGCAATTCTGTGTTTTGTGGAACAACCAACCCTTGAAAAAATATTTATCCTGGTTACTGTGCCTCGTAAAAATTAGATAAGGGTTAAAGGTCAAGGATTGGGTGTAATGCAATCTTGCCAACCACCAGCGAAAATAATTAATTTCGGTTCGGAGCGACTGGGGTATTTTTCTTAGTGTGTTTGTTACATTTACTATCTAGTAATTAATTTGTATTCCGGTGTTGAAGTTTTACGTTTTTTTAAACCATATTTAAATATTCTTTCAGGAATTACGTTTTACATGCATTTCAACGCTTTGTTGATGTTTGTTTCATTCGTGTTGTATTGTTTCCGGTCAAGAAAAACGTCACTTTTGTGGGAACTAGAATGGAATAAAAGATAAGGTTTCATTGTTAAAAAATATCCTGATAAAGAACGGAATTATTTTTGTTTACTCATTTGCGATTAAATGAATAAATAATATAGAATTTCGATTTTTGTGGTTGCTTTTTCTCCGCTATGAAAAAGTCCTGTGTTCTTGAATGAAAAAATTATAATTGCAGTCGTTTAAATTTTTATCCGGATATTAACCGGATCTAAATTTCGATAGAAACGACCAACCGGAAACGGGAAACTCTGCTGTAATATAAACGCTTTAGTGGTGTTTTGAGCTTCGAATAAAACTGAAATAGAGTGCTGAAATGGCATTTTTACCAAGGCAATTAATTTAGTGTGAGACCAAATTAAGGTCAGATATTTGAATCTGAGACCTGTCAGATTAATTAACTGTTGGGAATTACCCCCTTTTGGTGTAAAAATTAGGAGCATCGTCGACACAAAGCGCCCGATTAAAACCAGATTAGCTCAGTTGAGTGACTTTTTTTAATTAAAAATCGGTGAGATAATTAAAACGTTCGTCTTCGCGCCTAGAATAACACTCATAAATCCGAAATACGTGTATCTGGATTGCAAATTACGAATAAATAGCAGCTGTGCAAACGCGATTCAGAGTTGGTCGTTTACTCAGTGTGATTTTTATATGAAATAGCGTCTTAAGGAAAATGCGGATATAAAAAAGATTTTTTTATTGTCAACAGATTTGAGAAGATTAATTTAAGAGCCATTCTCTATTAATACTCTTTATCTTCGAGTTATTCAAAGTTTAATGGAAAGTTTGAGAGCCGCTCGTAAAATATTGATATGCTTCTAGTTGACGTGAACATGGCAAGGGTGCTAAGAAATTGGATTTGCGATGTTTTTGGGGTTTAAGGCAAAATAAATTTATTATTGCCACTATTTTAGGACGTCAATTCCTTAGTTATTACTTTTTTTTCATCAAAATTCAGATTAAAACACCTGAATAACTCGGCTTATTTTTACTTTTTAGTTGCGTCTTAATAAAATTCTAACAGAAAAGTTTTAAGATTTATTATTTCGAAAAATTACCAGCTAATATAAATTAAATTAATTTTTGAATTTCCAACGCTATAAAAAATCGTTGGTGTTTTATTCTATCACTTCCATCGCCATCCCCTCAAAAATCCTCAGATAATCAAAAAAAAATAACGAGGGGTGAACCCAGAGCCGTAATAAGATATTTGACGCTCTTGGGTGCCCTAACAAATTGGTGAAGTTCGTTATTGGCCTTTAAATATTAAAATTTAAAAAAATTATATAGGACATTAATAGATATTAATCTAGTGCATTATTTAAATTATTTTCAACTACACAGCATGTCTCAAAAATAAGTTACAATACAAACATAATTTTTTTCAAAATTAAACACTATACAGGGTGTGACAGAACTCGCGCTCCAGAGAAAAATTTCAAGTAAGATAAGATATCAGGAACATGGAAAAATGTTTAACAAATCCTACCCGTTTAAAAATTTTGACATTTATTTTTTCACATTTGACATTTTTTTATGAGAATTTAATAAGACTGATGATCTTGTATATGTTTTTTTGTAATCATTTAGTAAAGGTACAGTTGCGGAATTAAAATGTCCGGCAATATTGTCATTCTCGTAATGTAAACTCTAAAATAACCTTTACATTAATAACCTCATTTTTTAGTTATGTCATGTTTATGTCAGTTTGACTTACCTATTTACTTTCAAAAATAGCTTTACTGACGGAAAAATATAATTGTCAAATGTCTGTTATGATGACAGTAAAAGGTAGTTTATAGTGAACTTTTTGAAGTAATAGAAAAATACTGCTCGAAATTTTAATTCCGGAACTGTACTTTGCCAATAAAACCCACAATCAACATTAAAAAAGTTATAATTTAGGATACAGCTTCCTTGTTTCCTCTTCTAATAGCTTGTTCAAAAAAAAATGGAAAATTATTATTCTAACTGAAATAAATAGAGTCAAAGTGCCAAATTTAAACTCTCATAACTTCGATATTTTTATATACAGAATTTTTCTCTAAGCCGTGAGTTCTGGCCCATCCTGTATAATATTATGTTTCTTGACATTTTTGGATGAAACTTTTTGTTACAATAATTATGTTCTTAAAAGCTAACCTCTTATTTTTTTGACGAAAACATACTATTTTTAAAAATTTATTATACAAAAACTAAGACAGCCAATTTTTTTTTAAAACTAAGATAGGAAAATTTTTTTACTACTGCAAAGAAGAAAGTATAAACTTAAAGGGTGTAACAGTATTTTAGTGCATTTGTAAAGATAAAAAAATGTAGAATCTTGTAAAGTCTTAAATACCTGGTTTAAATGGAACACCTTTTTTTTGTTTTTGCAACTAATAGATTGTTAAATTGTCTATCTCAAAACATACTTTTAAATGCCTTAAATCTCTTAGATGCAAAATAAAGAAAGTATTCCATTAATAGCAGTTATTTATTATATAGACTGAATTATAAAAAACGCAAACAAGACAAAATTTTATTACTTTTTAAAGGCGTTACACACTTCTTTGATCAAAATTGATCAGTTTTTTGTTATCACTCGTTTGCTTATCCTAAATAAAAGAAAAAAATGTTTTATTCTTTACAAAGTCTACTTCATTTTATTTAATTTTCAAATTGCCTAAAAGGAAAAGTTAGTGATAAATAATAGTTAGTGAGCTTATTGAAAGACAATTTAATGATGAATACAAAAATAATAAAATATACAGACTGTCCCATTAAAAAATGAAATTGATGTCAGTTCTTGTGAAACCGGAAACAGTATTAAATAAGCATCTGTCCAAAAATAATAGATGACAAAAAACTGTTAAACTTTGTTCTAAAAAGTATTGTCATATCTTTAAAAATTAAAGAGTTATGGCTTGGGGCGTTTCTCAAAATCCACCCTGTATAAGACGATAGAGATTATTTATCTGCGAGTGAAAAGATTAAGTGGACTTACTTCATGAGTAGATAAACAATCTTTATCGTTTTTTTTCTGTAGCAGGATTTCAAGTTTATAAGAAAAAAAAAATAAATTTTATCTAGGTACTCTTTTCTTCATGTCAAAATGAAATTTTATCGTCTAGATGATAAAAAATACATCCACTGTTGTATATCTGCAGTTGTTAGTTGCTAACGATCTTTGTTTGAAATTAGTTTTCATTGTTGAATTTTACATTGACATTTATAAATATCGACCAAATTGACTACAAAATTAGTGAGGATTGAATAATATATTATTTTGTACACGACGATAAAATTTTCATTATCTTTTCGAGCATATTAAAGCAAACTAAATTGCGCTCAAAGATAAAATTCAATTTTATCGTCTTGTCTAATAAATAACTATTTTAGCACAGAAATGGCAGTTGTGTTGCTCCGTTACTATGGGTTACTAACTCATTTTATCTACCGTTGCTGTTAAAGTGTTACTTTATCTATCCTTGCGGTTGAAGTGCTACTTTATCTACTCAAGAGAGTTTCTATAAATATTTGTTATAGAATTAAGGTACTAAATTTCTTATTTTTTTTTATCTTCACAAATGCAACATACAAAAAAATATTATAGCTTTAAAGTTTGTACTTTTTTCTTGCAGTAACAAAAAAAAACTTCTAGCTGTCTTAATTTTTGTGTAATAAATTTTTAAAAAGAGTATAACAACCACGTTATTACTTTCAATGTAAGCAAAATTGCCCTGTGTTAGGGTGGCCCAAGGTACACAGATGGTGTATATGTTGGTGGAATCACGTAGAAATTTTGTGTTATTCATTATTCTTTTTGGAAATATTTGTATTTACAATTATCTGGAAGTGTTGGAATTATTTGGAATTATTTAGAATTATCGTTT